TTTTTTTTTTTTTTTTCTTTTTTTTTACGTCTACGAAAAATCAATAATCTGTTTATCCCTTAGACTTGGGAAAGAGCCAGCTGGTACAACCCGGGAGCAAGTTGTCTATGCTAAGAAGCTTTACGAGTCGGCCTTTCATCCCGACACCGGTGACCTGCAAAATGTCTTCGGCAGAATGTCCTTCCAAGTGCCAGGTGGAATGCTTATTACTGGTGCCATGCTTCAGTTTTACAAGTGAATTGTCTTTTTGCATATTTTCCACCTACGCCATTGTAAAAAAATGATGATTCCTTGGAACGCAAAGAGTTTAAAAGTTTGTTCGACGAAGGTTTGTTTTTGCATTAGAACTAAGACTGGAGAGATTACTATATTGGCATAAAACTAATGATTAATTGTATAAAAATATTAATTTATTTCTTTGTAACAAGCAGCAGATGCGTTCAGTTTTCTGTTAAAACGTACATACTGTCTGCTTCGTAGAGTTTATTTTATTTAAAAAAAATTTTGTATGAAGAAGACAATGTTTATTCGGAACAATTGTTGTAGAACAACTACAGCTGTGGTTTTTTGGCAATGGGTGAACCAGTCATTCAATGCGTTGGTTAACTATACAAACAGAAATGCCAACAGTCCTACAACCGTGTCTCAATTGGGGGTGGCATACTTCAGTGCTACTTCAGCAGCTATGATAACAGCTATAGGATGCAAATCCTTTTGGGCAAAACGGGCAAGCCCTCTTATGGCGGTAAATATCATATTTTAAATTCTGGACAACTAAATTAAAACTGACATTAATGCTCTCATAACGAATTTAGATTCTGTCTTATAGACATAATCGTTCTTTCAATTATTTAATTAGATAGAATAATTGAAAAAGTTCGATCTAACGTAAAGTTTAATTATTTAATAGCGTTATGTGCCATTTGCTGCCGTGGCGGCTGCAAATTGCGTGAACATTCCCCTGATGCGACAGAACGAAATCACCAATGGAGTTGATATCAGTGATGAGAACGGCAATAAGTTAACCAAGTCAAAAGTAAGTTGTATTCAGTGCTCGTTACGGAATAAAATTATATATCACTGAAGAGAAGTAAATACATGAACCATTTTAGCTCGCAGCAGTTAAAGGCATTAGTCAAGTAGTCATCTCAAGGATCGTTATGTGCGCACCTGGCATGTGTAAGTAGATATTAAATAAAATAATAAATAGTACATAAAATAATGAAATACACAAATTCACACGATTTAGTGATCCTCCCACCAATTATGGAAAGACTAGAAAAATACGCTTGGATGCAGAAGATCAAATTTTTGCACGCACCTATACAAGTTATGTTGGTCGGTTGTTTGTAAGTATACCTTAAACGCATCATTCTTAATATTTATTTACTATAATATTACAAGTAGTAATATTACAAGTAGTAATATTATAGTAAATAAATATTATATACTATAATATTATAGTAGTAATATTATAGTAATTTAAATAAAAAAAATACTCGATATTTCAGTCTGACGTTCATGGTTCCTACGGCGTGTGCATTATTCCCACAAAACTGGTGAGTTTATATTTTGCTAATGTAAAAATTAACATGAATTATTAGTAATTAATATAATATATAGACAAGGACTTACATAGTTCACATGTGTATTTTGTATATATTTATAGTTCAATTAAATCTAGTACTTTGGAACGTTGGGAACCTGAGAATTACGAACTCTTAAAGAAGAATTGTGAAATCAAGAAAATACCCACATACTTATACTTCAACAAAGGTTTATAATTAATGAAGGCTGTAGTCGTGGTAAAAGATCATCAATGGTGCTCTTCTTCATCGTCCTGCATAAGATAATAAGCTGATTAATAATTGAATTGAACAAATTTTCGCATACAATAAGTCATCGGGAATATTTGTAGTTTTCTGCTGGTCCAGAGGATGAAGAAAGCTTGTTCAAGAAAGAAGAACAACAGATACGACAATATTATATTACAAATTATTTTTATCCTATGTAGCAATACGTTTTATTTGTAAGATTTATCATGTACCTAAGTGCTATGTATCGATGCATTTTATTATTCATTATATACTTTCATCAATAATGATTAGGATCGATTCTTCTTGGAATAACATTAGTAAAAACATTAGTAACTACCTTTTTGCACGCAAAATATTTCAGACGACAATAATTTGTTTTTACTGAACGCTCAATCGTTTTACTTTAATTAAACTAGATAAACAATATTTTTTTAAGGAGCATTTAGACGATTAATATATATTGTCAATATTTCAAGATTCTCAATATTATTGTATGTAAGAACAATTAACATATATTGATCATCTGAAGAATCCTTACGAGAATATTGGCAACTTTAAATATATATATATATATTCAGAACTTTGACGATATATATTGATCACTTTAACACTCTATAATGATTTATACTATGTTTTGTTATATCATATATTGTTAAATCTCTGATTTTAGATCTTAAAATCATGTCAATGTTATTAACTGTTACTACCTCCTTGAGCTGTTAACAAAAGAAAATGCTGCCATGTATATTTTAGTAAACATTACAATAAACTTGGAAACTGAATTTCAATGAATTTGTCTTATTCTGATTATAGATTATAATCGATTACATGATAGTAGTAAACCTAATAAATATAAAAAATAGTGTAATTCGATACATGTATATAGAATGTAAAAAGCTATATATTTGGCCGTGAATGTGTAGGTTGAATTTGTTGCGGCATATAACCAATGCGTTCTTGAATTTCATTTTGTGGCACTTTACCACCCCACGTGGGAGGGCTGAATGTTGTTGGTGGTCTTTCTGATTCTTTTTTAGCTTCAAGAGCCTTTCTCATTGCTTCATATTCTTCCAGATCGTCTAGTCGTAAATCAAGTCTCGTCGGACTGCGTCGTATCATTTTACTAAAAAAAAATTCAACGCATTTTCTTTTAGTAAAAAAAAGTCCTATCGTAAATCAATATATGTGGAACTGTTGTTAATAAATAAAAGCTAAACGAATAAAATCCTGTTTTCTTCAATTCTTAATATTACACAATTGTCTTTGATGTATTTATGAAATGTTTTATTTTCAAATATTGTTATACATTTTTAAATTTCAGTTCGGAATAATATCAGAACTATTTCAAACTTTAATAGATTTGAGAACATCTTTGTTACAATTATAAAATTAATTAAGATTTTTTATCAGATGAATTTAAAAAATAACTAATAATTATTTTACATGTCACACGTTGTACAATACATATAGAATAAACTTAAATTTATCGTGCAATTATTGCTAAAAATGAAATAAAATTATGTATTGTTAAAAATGAGATAAAATTTAAAAAACAAAGTTAATATAATCATAAAATTGGCTTGATAAAAAGGAATATTTAAAATTTAAATCGGAAGATATGTTTCATTGAAAAACAAAAATGTGAAATACATATTGTACACGGGGCACAGAATCACATAAACACACCTCTGAACGTTAGGTTAAGATGGCGGATTACGAGGAATAGATAACTGGCCAGTAATAATACTGAAATAAATAACACTTTTAAGAATGCATTAATTACTGGGCCATTTATAATCGTGAAAATGATATTTTTCCTACGACATTTCATACGAATCGTTCATAGATTCGCATCATTTACACTACTAACATGAAAATGTGGGTACAACAAGGGATTTGGCCGCCGTAAACACGCTTCCGATCGAGTGCTACAATTTTCGTTAATTTTGCCACGGCGGCAAGCACTCATCTTTAATAAATTGTAAATAATTGTAAATTAAGCACCAGGCAACGAAGCGCCAGCACGAAAGGATGCTTTACTTGGAAGATTATGTCGAAAGTACGTAAAAACGAGGCACGCTCTGCTTACCCAGCTTCTCAAGAAAGTTACTAACTTTTCCGAATATACTCTCTTGCACAAACATCAGAAATGTTTCTTAAAGCTAATATCTCAATAGATATTGCGTTATTATGTATAATCGTTTAAATGTTGCCTTTTATTTCACTGTTCGAATGAAATATCTCATAATAGGAGCAATTACTTGACATACTGTTCTCTGTAAATTTGAGGTTAGTTACATGTTTTCTAAATAGTGTATAGCTTCCCTACTCTATCCATTATATTTTGGAGTTAAACCTTTGCTTATAATAGATGTGAATAAAATGCGAACATTGTAATTATGATGTTAATTAGATAAATGCTGTTTATTCTCCAATATTTGATCTCTTTCATTTTGGTTTTGTTTGGTTATGTTAACCTTTTCCTTTTATGGTTTTCAGTGATCGAGCATCTACCACAAGAATTAAGAGACCGATTTACAGAAATGAGAGAAATGGACTTAGGTGTACAGAGTATGTACAGTCTATCACACGATATATATGTTTGTTATTTATGAATTGTATTAATAAATACTCCAATTGTTACAGATTCAATGGACAGTTTAGAAAAAAAAGTAAAGATTTTCTTTGCAAATGCAAAGAAGATGAAACCTAGTGAAAAAGAAGCAGAATATGAAGTCATTAGAAGAGAGTATTACAAAACTCTGGAAGATGCCGATGAGAAAGTGCATTTAGCTAATCAGATGTATGATTTAGTAGATAGATATTTGAGAAGATTAGACCAGGAATTGCACAAATTTAAAATGGAACTAGAAGCAGATAATAAAGGTATTACCGAAATATTGGAAAAAAGGTCATTGGAACTAGATCAACCACCTACGAATAGTAGTCAAAAAGAGAATCGGTATAGCTTTACAACATCCAGTAGGTCACGAGACAATCATAGTCATTGTAAGTATTTCTTTGCTTTAATTACATTTTATTCAATGCGAAAAATAATAAGAATTTCTAATAAATTAAAAATCGTAATAAAAATTTGCGTAGCTCGAACAGAAAAAAGGAGAGATTCGAACGCGTCATCGACATCAATAGAAAAACGCTTAGCTATAGAAAAAATTTCTCCAAGTCTTCCTGAATCGCGACCGGCTTCTGCAAATTCAGGACCAATTATTGCCGCGACTAGCGTGCCATCTACTCCTACAGCAATTGCAAATTCCGTCGGTTCTGTGAGTTATAATCTCGGTCACATAGGAGCTGGTGGAAATGCTATAGCAGCTGCAGCATCGCAAGCAATTGCTGCGACGCAGCAAATGCAGCAAGGTAGACGTACTGCTAGTTTAAAAGCTAGTTACGAGGCCATCAACACTGGTGGTGTACATGCAGCCGAATTTAGTAGAGAATTAGCTGGCGCTGCCCAGACTGCTATTGCAGCTATACAACAGGAAACAACTAAAAAGCATAAAAAGTATGTATCTACTGGAAGACCTCTGCAATGTTTGTAAAAATTTTCACCTTTTCGCTTTGAGCGACTGTTATTGCTCATTTTAGGAAAGTAACAACTGCTGTCCCAAGTTCGAGTGTAGTTGCTGCCTCTGCTCAACAACCTGTATCACCTCCAGTTGCAACTACAAATAACACACAAGTCGCAGATTCAGATAATCCAGATTGGACTTATGATCCAAATGAACCAAGATATTGCGTATGTAACCAAGTATCTTACGGTGACATGGTTGCGTGTGACAATTCAGATGTAAGCTAAATTTTTTTTCCTTATCTTTCCATGTGAAATCAAGTCAAGTCATATTTATACTTATTAAATATTTTTCTCTTGTTACTGTTTTTTACAGTGTCCTTTTGAATGGTTTCATTATCCATGTGTGGGTATCACTGCACCTCCAAAAGGAAAGTGGTACTGTCCTCAATGTACATCTTCTATGAAGAGACGCGGAAGTCGGAAAAACTGATTGTGCTGTAATCAGTGCAAATATAACAAGAAAAAATTGATACTACCTCTTAGGCATTGTCCGTCAAGTACCAACTTAGTTAGGAAGCTATTAATTCTGATTTTATATGAATTTTTAAATATGTTTAAAGTTTAAGTCGTGATCTTATCTGGTCTTGATCTTGTCTCACAAAACTTGAATTTCTGTTTCTATAGCAGAAAAGGGCAGTTTTTTTACTGCATTTTGTAGACGTAACGAGAGGATCAGACAATGAATTCTGGATAAATTCGTTTTACGAGAGAATTTTTTGCATACAAGTATCGCACTTGTGCACCACTCTTTACTGCGACCACATTAGGTAGTTTCTACGAATTTACATTGAAAAGTAATCTTCTTCTCTGGTAATACGTAATTTATGGACTGAATACCAGAAGTGATTTTCATTGTGAATTTTTCAAAATTCATGTCTTTAATTTTTCGCAATATCGATCAATCTTCGTATATTTACGTCCTCGTGTTAGTTCAGACGTGCTTAGTATCTCGCTGAATTGATGACTAGGCGAGCAATAACATTTTAAGTGTTCTACGCTTTTGAGAGAGAGAGAGACAAACAAGAAAGCAAAGAGAAAGAATGTATGTGTGTATGCGTGTGTACATGCGAGAGAGAGAGAAAGAGAGAGAGAGAACCGACGATAAATTGTGAGAATACTACTTTCAAATTGAAGGAATGTAGCAATTTGATGTATAAATAAAGCGAATGATGCAGACTTATTATTTATATTACCATCATTTATAAAAATATTTCTTCTCATTTTCTTTAATTAATTATAATCAATATCTCTTATTTGAATACGTCTTATTCTAAAATTACTCTTGTGTTGTGAAAGTAGTTCATCGATTCATTGGAATTCATTTTATTTTTAAAACAATTCGAATATCTTATCGTTTCTGGGTCATTTCCAGCATTACCTCGGTCCAATTAACTAGCGATTTAGTTGATCATGAATTAAACGCAAAGACATGTTCAACTTAATCTTCAGAAAGCGTTAATATGAAATAATTTGATTTTCACGCTAATAAATCGAAATATAGTTGTTAGTCATAATTCACACATTTGTAAGTTTACTATGAAAATTTTTATTACGTTTCAAAACATCGTTAGAACCGGAATATAAAAAAGAAAATTAAAGGGAAAAACCAATGCAATTATGATATGAATCATAGAACCAGATACTGGGAGCCAGTAATTATTGTTGACCTTCTTCATCTCGGAGAAAATTTAATTTTGCCTCTTGTTCCACTTTGAACATTTTATTTTAAAAAGTGAGTAACACTGTGACATTCCATGCCATACGTAAATGAAGGTGTAATTATGATCGGAAGCAATTTACGGCAAATTATTTCGCAATTTACGTGCAAAAGACTATTGCTTCTCTATCTGTGAAAGATCGCACATTATTTTCGTTCCAAAAGAATGTACGAGTTAATGTGCTTTTGTAAAACGCGTTGCAAGGTGTCATCGTTGTATATAAATCGGAGGCTTGTCGGCTGAAAACCTTGGTCTTCTTCAACTCCGCGCGTCTTCATTCGTATGCACAGAGAAAATTATTTTCTGATATTCAATCATGTCACGTATACTATTTGCAGTCTTCTTCATCGCAAGCACTTTGAGAAATCCCGTACGAAGTGCGATATCTTTTGACAGTACCACAACTATGTCATCAAGTACGTAAAAAATTTTTGAAAAAATTGAGAAATTTAAATCGTTTTTAACCCTCTTCGCGGTGAAAAAAAAAATTATAAATAATCTCAATTACTGATCTCACCGTAAATTTCTTTTAAAAATTTTACTTCTGATTTTATTATTATTCTGTGGTTTTTGTTTTTAAACGAAAGAAAATATAATATGATATAAAATTTATAGTATAATACTTGCCAAAAATAAAATATCACTAAAATGTATTTCCGATTGCTTCTGAATTTAATTTTGATCGACATAAATGTGAATTTAATTTTGAAATTTTTTTGAAAAATTACTCCTGGAAAGAATCTGTTTAAGTTGAGTATTTTGTTACAAACTTTTAAATATTTTATATTTAAGGTCAAAGCGGCGCTATGACTAATAGCAATTCATGTTGTGTTTCAAAGGACAACTGTCCAAATACGAATACCAATACGAACACCAATACGGGAATCGATATTCGAATTGTTAATAATGTATGTATAAATAATTTACTTAACACTTTAGTAATTTTTTCAAAAAATACATTGTTTTATTTCTAATTATTTGAGGTTTCGAACTGTTCCGCTGGACAAGTATATTGCTGTTCGGAACATCTGATCGACTATAGTTGTGGTATCAGAAAAATTCCAGAGTCTGCACATCCTCAAGGTCAAGCCAGTTATGGTGCATATCCTTGGCAAGCTTTACTTTTAACAACTAACAATGTTTATGTTGGTTCAGGCGTACTTATTACTCCAAATCATGTGTTAACTGTCGCTCACAAAGTAGCATCTTACACGTAAATAATTACATTATATTTTATATTTTACTTTAACTCCCAAAATATGGATATTATTTATTCGTCTTTATTTCTTTTATATTTTGCTTTTTAATAAGATCAATTAAGTGACAAACAAATATATATCTTTTGTAGAAATAGCGGGCTTAAAGTGAAACTGGGGGAGTGGGATGTGCAATCCTCTACTGAGGCTTATCCAGAGAAAGAATATTCAATTAAAAAAATATCTATACACTCTGGATATAATTCTGCCAATCTTCAAAACGATATAGCAATACTAGTTTTGAGCGGTACTGTTCCAGTTGCAAGCAGTCTCAATATAAACACTGCGTGTCTCCCAACAGGATTACCCGCAGCTTCTACAAGGTAAGTAGGAAATTTACATTGAACATTATGTGCGAGTTTTTATTTCAATTATCATAACTTTATATATTTTTTTGTATATTCTTTAAGATGTTGGGTATCAGGTTGGGGAAAGGATGCATTTGGCACAAATGGCAAATATCAAAGTATAATGAAAGAAGTAGATGTACCAATTGTTGATCAATCAACCTGCGAAAGTGCTCTCCAAAAAACTAGACTTGGCCAATTCTTTACGCTAAATAAAAGCAGTTTCATATGTGCAGGAGGGGAACAAGGAAAAGATGCATGTACAGTGAGTGTTACGATGTTAAAATTTGATTCTTAATTATTGTTTATATTATTTAGATAATGATATAAATTTTATAAATTTCTTTTACTTATATTTTATTAGCACTTATTTTGATTAAAATTCTCTTAGGGTGATGGTGGTTCACCATTGGTATGTCAATCTGGTAACCAGTGGCGGGTGGTTGGATTGGTTACATGGGGTATTGGTTGTGCAACTAGTAATGTTCCTGGTGTATATGTTAATGTATATAATTATATTCCATGGATTACACAACAAATAAGTCAGACTAAATGATTATACGAAGTATATACAAAGTAATATACAACGGTTATTTAAAACGATAAAACGAAAACCACAAAAACGACATAGTAAAAAACCATTGGTCTTTTAGTGCGCTCTACGTTTAAACAACGGTGAGTTGGGGAACCGCCTCTAAACTACAAATAAAACAATCGAAGTTGGTCAGGTAGTGAATGCGTCAAAAATATGAAACCCATTACAGTGTTAAAGTCTTCTTCGATTGATTCTATAATTTGTACCTGATACAAATTTAAGAAACTGAAAAAGATTGGTAAAATCTGTAAAATATAATCATTACTTGCAGTTGGATGAAACATCATTTTGGTGTAACAATTTTTTCCACTTACATGTTACTTAGTCACTTTTTTCATTCATATTTCATCTTTCTAAACCTTTAGTGTATATTTCTGTATAATTTCTGTAACTAATATTCTCTGTAAGTTAATATCTGAAACAAATTTATATATTGGATTAGTGTTATAAATAAATAAAAAAACAAAATAAAAAGATCTTCAATGAAGACATATTATTACATACACAAAAAAAACCAGGTTACTATCAAGATTTATGTATTTTATTATTTTCTATTATTTCATAATTATATTTTATTAACTGAACTAAATTATATTTTTACTCAAAATTATGAAAATCGAAAGCAAGGAACTCTAATGATTGGATTTAAATTAGACTGAGTAAGCCAAAAATTGAAAATTTGTCTTTGATACAAAGATGAAAAAAAATTCGATTAAAATCACATTTTGATTTATTTTTCAACTTTTATTTACTCGTTATGTAACACGAAGAATAGAAAGAATTGTTAAAATATGTTTATTGTACGATTTTTGTTGCAAATAAACAACGATCGCGAACAAACTTCTTAGATTTACGCATACGAAATTAGAATATTTATAAAATATTCTACTTTATTGTTGAAACATTTAGAATAGAGAAAATGAAAGAAAATGATAAGAAAATAACTTTGATAACAAACAATCATTATTATTATAACTCTGATAATGAACAATCATTATTGACTCCAATAACAATTTGATTCGAAAATCCGCCTGTCGCGAAGTATTTTCTTGCACATAAAATTTCACATATTTTCTACGAAAAGTATTCTAATCTATTATATATTACAAATTGTATATGAAGTTCATAATTATAAAATTCAATTAATTTAATCATTTAATATTATTATAAAAGGGAAGATGAAGTTGGAAATTATTAATTACTACAACAATTATTGATTGTTAATTATTATAACAGTTATTAATTATTAATTATTATAACAAAATATATTACCAGTATATTAATAAGTAATAACTGCATCTTTCATAGCAACGAAGTCGGAGGGTATCCGTCTTCTCTACTACGAAGTAGAATTCGCTCAAACGAATTTATTTTAATAATAATTATTTATAATTTATCTGTTCATATGGATATTCACGTAAATATTTTGCTTTTGCAAATATTTATGTTGAACATATTTTGATTTTACTATAACTACATATATTCAATTACTATTTTAACAATTAGTTTGAATATATGCAATAATTACTATAACTGTATATATTCAAACTAATTGTTAAAATCGCGATGTACAGGTTGCCCTATTCTGATCCAATACATAAAAAACTTGAAAAACCTGTTAAAAAAATGTTACTACTCATGGATATAAAAAATACCCGCGGTCACTATGCTCGTCAAAAATTCTACACATAAACCCGTGCCGATTCGACATTTTTCGTCCCACGACATGACTGAATGACCAGAGGAATAAAAATGCATGCGTCTCACTGCGAAGAACGATATTATCGGCACTAAATCAAGAGAAGTTGTCGTCAAACAGATATCACAGAGAATCCCATGGTAGAAGTGAAAAGAATATAGAAGTGAACCCCCAAAAATTTTTTTGAAAAGCATAAAGACACAGTGTTATTTGTGAAAATTTAAATTTTAATAATGATAAAAATTGGTACTCTAATGATTTGAAATGTTTCTATTTTATAGTTATAATTTTATATTAGACTTCAATGGTAGAGAAGAGTTAATTCAAGTACAATGTGCTAAACTACTTACATTCTTCGCGTTTGAAGCATCGTAAAATTCTTAGAGAATAAGGGGAATTGGAGACTGTAGAGAATTACACATTAGAGAACAAAACATAAAAGAATTAGAATTTGTACTTAAAAAAGCAGAATCTTAAATTCGAGACAATGAAAGATTCTTGGCTTTGTAGCCATCATTTCCTCCCAAAATATGTCAAAAAGTTGATACTATGAAGCGTTTATAATTATAAATAACTTTGTTTTGTCAAATTTGAAAAATTGAATAAATTGAAATACAATATATAAAATTACTTACGATCTTAATCTCTTGGCGAGACGTTATCCTCTTGAGCACTGACTCTAGTATATCGAAAACGAATGTTGTATAAGAAAAAATATAAAAAAAGGAAAAATAAAAGACTATCAACACGCGCGTTTAAATAACAATCGGCGGACTCATTGATTCTAATTTCGCGAATTATAATTTAATAAATAAATTAATAATCTAATTTAATGAGAGCTACTTTTCTCGGAAAAATATTAAAATATTGCGCAACAAACACTGATTCAATCGATCGCATTGCGCGCGGTCACAAAATTTTTCTGAAAATAAAATTAATTAGAAGAGAAAGAGCAAGGTGTACGTTCATTTAGAAAATACTGCTATTTTTCTAGAACATGAAATTAAAGAAACTTGAATATGTATTAAAGATATTAATTGTAAATTATAAAATATTTCTCAATACTGTAAGTGAAAGACGATTATTATAGTCTGAAATTCTGAATGTTCGTTATTAGAGTAGAAGGAATTTATATTAGTAATATATCACGTCGCGTGTTATAAATATTCAAAATTTCACAGCTAAGTGTATTTAAAAAAAATCATACACGTGTGAAATCTTGCTCTGAATCGTTTAATTATCGTGTCAGACAAAGTATATTGTAGCAAAGTATAGTATAGTGAAGTACGAAAACTTTGAATTTAATAATCCAATACAAGAATATATTCATTTGAAAGTACGTACCAAAGTACTACGATCTTTATATTCGAAATAAAATATTAATTGACTTAATCTTTTCCATTTTCATCCTTTCATCTTCATATAATTACGAAATTACGTAGTGTGAGTTGTATTTCAAATACAATAAATAAATTATATAGCAAATATTACCTAGAATGAATAAAATGTTGCCGACTTTCCGTGAAAGTTCATCAGATTGTTCATTAATGATCGTGGCGTCTACGCGTGCTATGTTATCACTATCATTCAAGGAATAATCTGCACAAAGAGAAACCAAAAATCAGAACAAATATGTCAAATGAAAGCAAACGTGTTTGCAAAAATGAAACAATAATCAACTTCAAATTCGATTAAAAATACGTACGAGGCAAGGTAACTGTAAGAGTGAAACCGATGATCGATGAAAAATCAACATCAAAAAAGCTTCAAACTTACTCGATTTCGTTATCTCGATACTTAATGAATCGTCAAACACACGCGTATAAATGGAAATAAAAGAATATCGAAGAAGCGATTGATTAGAAAATGTTACGAATCTAATATAACGTAATACGTATTGTTGTCACGAAATTCGACAGCCGAATGACTGTCCGCGACACGTCTTGCCTTTCAATTGAGAAAGTAGTAAGAGATTAAGACGAACATGTTAGGTTAAGACGAACATGTTGTTTCTTTATTTTGAATTTCAATGCCTTCTATGCTTTATTTGAGAACTGAACAGTTTCATTATATTACGCAGTAAAATTATTATTTTAACTATTAAATATGTACATTCTTAATAAATTATTGTTTTCAGCATTGGAATTGTTAAGAACTACGCAGTATGAAGTTAAAGAATCAATAAATAAGGAAATGTTATAATAGAAATGTGTGTGTGTGTGTGTGTGTGTAAAAGCATATAATAAAATACGTGTGTGTATGTATATATATAAATATATAACAATGAGTTAGTTAATTGCAAGGTTACAATATTTGGTTAGAATTGAAATTAAATTTTGGTATAAAGTTATAAATAACTTTTACCATAGTTTAAATATTAATATGCTATTATTTCTTTAACTGTTGAAATTTGGTTAAATTTTATTTCAGGGGACTAAAAATTATATACTATTTTTAATTATCTGGCAATTTCGAGTTGAAGCCAAAAATTTAAATTTTTACCTAAGAACTTCCGGATGATATTTTTTTTGTATGATCCTTCTGGATAATACTTTCTTCTTTACAGATGAATATGCTTCTTTCCGCCATTATTCTCGTTTAAAAATCGATCGTGAAAAATATATATTATGTTCGAGAATCATAGAAATATATTGCGTTGGACGCTGTAATCGCGCGTTTTGCACGAAATGATAACTTGAAATAAAAAATAAACTCTGGCCTAAATCAAATACACAAAATTCATGAGAAATTCTTAAACAAGAACAAAAATAATCACATATTTGATGAAATATTGTCAATACTTTAAACTGAGAAAATTTATTATATTCCGTAGTAAAATTATTTTAACTATTAAATACGTACATTCTTAATAAATTATGGTTGAATTTAGTATCGTAAGAAATAGTATATGGAGTTAAAGAATCAACAAATAGAAAATGTTGTAATAGAAGTGCGTGTGTAAAAGCATATAATAAAATCTGTATACATGTATAACAATGAGTTAGACAATTACAAGGTTATAATATTTGTACTGGGCAGAATTGAAATTAAATTTTGTATAAAATTATAAATAAATAACTTTTAGCGTAGTATGTTCTATTTAAATTTTTATATGCTATTATTTTTTTAATTGTTGAAAATTATGTGTAATAATTATTTCATTAAATCTTACTAAAAATTATACACTTTTTTGATAATGGTAGATCTTAATGAATTGAAACCAAAAATGCCAATTTTAATTTAAAAATTCACAACACATGCAAGTCTGACAGCTATTGATTTAAATTTTTATCTGAGAATTCCTAGATAATACTTCTTTCTAGATTATTTTTCTGGATATTTTCTTCTTTACAGATGAGGTGTGCTTCTTTCCATCATACTTCCCGTTTAAAAATCGATCATGAGAAATATCGATTATCGTTCGAGAATCGTGGAAAGTGTATTTCACCACTGGCGCTGTAGTCTTCAACAAACTTAAATCCAATAGGCGCGCATTTCGCATGAAAGGTTAACTTGGAATAAAAAACTTGAAATAAAAAATAAAAAACTTTGGTCTAAATCAAAAATTCTTAAAAAAGAACGAAAATATTCACACACTAAATAAAAAATTGTCAGTATTGTTATATAAACTGTTATAATTTCTGTTTAAAAAAAAAATTGTAGAACAATTAACTTGATTTTATTTTAAAGAATGAAATTTCCATTTTAAATCCTTGTTTCGTTCAAAGATATTAATTTTTGTATCATGCAAGCAAGTGAAGAAGTAAGAATTTTCTTCTTGAAAATTGTAAAAATTCAAATATCTTACCAAAGAGAAGTTTCTCCATCACTGAACAATTTTTTTTCATAATCAGATCAATTATGATTTTGAAAATTAAAAATCTCCACTTTACAGTGAGACCTTATAATTAGCTGTACAATTTTTTCGCCATTTTACTGAACTTTAAAAAATAATTTATTAATTTTTAACGAGTTGTAACAACAAATAATCTCGTATGTAAATCATTGAATTCATCTTAACAAACAACTTCGAAATTTCGAAAACGAGCGATCTGCAAAAAATAATTTATACCACTAACTAATATATAACTTTATACCAAACATTTATGGAAACATTTCTTTAATACTTCCAGGCTTTTATAAAATCGAGTTTGCAGGATTTATTCAGACTCTAAAGTTACACAGTAAAACAAATAAAAAACATCATATAATTCATATCTAATTATGTTGTTAAAAAATATATTTCAATTAATTTGTTCTAATACCTTTAGATAGGTGTAAAGAATTAAATATATAATAAATTTTACATTTCAATTTCCATCAATCGCTGTTTAACAATCTGTTTAACGTTATATTGGTTCATTGATAAAGTATCACGTTCAATTCAATAAATAACTCTGAAAGCAGATGTGACAACACTGTCCATGTTTTTTGATTTTAATTCTCATCACTAGTAGTACTGCGGTGCAAAACCTACACTAATTGCAAATCGATATGACAAGATGTGACACAAAAATGGTAAGGAGATCCTAAGACTCCGAAATCGTCGCACAAAAGATGTATTATATGCGAGGTCTATTCATATACCTCATCTATGTTATAACTTTTAGACTTATTTTTTCAATGTAAAACACTTCATAATGTATAAGTATATTTAAATATATTTATATGTAAATTACTAATTGTAAATATATTACTATGCAAAAAATATATGATAATTTTATTATTACGTATTCAATACTCTAAATTTTATGCGTAAAAAAAATTTGACGCATATTTAATGAAATAAAACGATTTTATTTCTTCGATAAATAATTATTTTGCTGATAAAGTAATTAATTAAAAATCAAAGTGTATTTGATGATGACTAAAGTGACAAGAAAATAACATGTAGATATACGTTCTACATAAAGCTTGATTCATGAAAACCGTAAAGTGCATTTTACGTTTACGTAAATATGTAAATTGTAGATAGAGGGCTTATCGTGTTTGACGTTTCTGAAAAAAGTACTAGTTGTTTACAATTTTCCGAGATCTCAAAAGTTCGTAGGAATAGGTAGATGTGACAATGGACGCCAACATAGACGATGATGAAACATACAACGAATTAGGTATATTTCTTGATACAGTGTGTATTTAATATATTGAATTGGAATCTTTGAAAAATTACAGGTTATGTATCGAGTTGTCTACATATTGTTTTTTCAAATGTAGAGATCTTTCCTCGTCAATTTAGTTTACAGTTACATTTGCTGTAAACTATATTTTTCAAATTTTTGTAATTCCATATGTATGTTATTTTTCGGCATTGGTTTTGATATCGTTATACATCTGATACGTATAATATTATCATTATGTCAAATCATTGCTTATAAGCTCTTTGTATACACCAATGTCTTTTTAGCTAAAAGAACGAAAACAAAGAATAAAATATCTATTTTACAGAATATCCGGAGAATAGACAAAACAATGCTGAGGAGGACTATTCAGAAGAAAATACAGACGAAACATCTGTCTCTACCGAAAGCACATTTGACTTGACATTACCAGCGACACATTCTGTAAATTTTTAATACATGTTTATAGATATATTTGTAAACATATGATATTTGTGCTTAGTTTTATTTGTAATCCAGAAAGAAAGATGTTATTTTATATTATGAGATTATATTTTATTAGTATTTAGGACATAATTTAGAAGAACTTAGAGGAAGAACAATATTAGATGATGGACTTTACGTAAACTTGCCACTGCTAGTAAAACAATCTGTCATGTTATTTCCTGGACAGACATTGCCAATGACAGTATTTGATGCACAAACTATTGATATGATAAGAACTTGCATTGAAAATGATCGAACATTGGGTGTTGTATGTTTGGGTTATGATAAAATGGTACCAATAGGTACAACTGCAGAAATTTATGAGTGTATGTATGATCCTGATCAAGGTTTTCGCTTGAAAGCTAAGGGCAGACAAAGATTTAAAATTCTCCGAGTTATAATTCAGGTAGGTATTCATATAAATCTTAATATATGTATGTATACAGTATAATAGCTGCTAGGATAATAATGTACAAGTCAACGAAATTACAAATGCAGAAGTTAAAAATTTTCTTTTTTATCTAAGCAATTCATTTTTTTAAAATGAATTTCCTTTTATTTTTATACAGTTATGATTCTTGTTACAAGGGCATTTGATTATAAAGTTATGTATTTTTGAAGTAAGTAACATCTATTTGCATATCTATTTCTATATTTAGGGTTATGATAAAATATCAGCGCATGTACAAGTCTTACCAGAAATAACACTTGGACCACCATTCTTGGATGAACGTTTAGCTTCATTAGATCATATACGAATACATCCAAAAAATGAGGAAGATTTTAAGAAGCAAGAAAAAGTAGAAAATTTAGATGCTGTAGTGACACCTTGGCCAGCCTGGGTGTACCGACAATATGATCCTTTAAGACTTTCATTAAAAATACGACAACGTTTGCAATTTATTGAAAGCAGTATGTATTAGTAGAGGATTTTCATATAAAACTATTGTACATTTTAAATTAATATTATCTGATTAATTATAGAGGGAAGTAGTATACCAGAGGATCCTGCAGATTTATCATTTTGGGTCGCCCAAAATTTGTTATTAGATGATAATGAACGAATTGTTTTGTTAAATTACGATTGCGCAATTTCAAGGTTACAAAGAGAAATTAGATATCTAGTAGAAGTGTGTAAAATTGACAAATCTTGTTAAAAATTTTTTTAAGTACATTTATTTTAGACCTTTGTGATTAATAGATCGTACTTTTCTTTCATAGGATAAAATATTTGTTTGTTGCAATTGCGATTCTTATATTGGAAGGCAATCACATATGTTTCCAATGAGTAAAGAAGGTCCGCAGGGTACCTATTGCAATCCTTCTGGAATTATACATGAAACCGTAACCTTATATCATGCACAAGGCCTTGCACTGAGTGATAGTCCACCATCAATAAATTATACGTGGTTTCCAGGGTAATTTTATATATATATATATATAAAACAATATATTTTTTATTGTATTTTTCTATTTTTTACATTAAATTACTTTGTATACGGATTTATTTCGTGACAGATACGCCTGGACTGTCGCAACGTGTAAATATTGCGGTGATCATATGGGATGGAAGTTTACAGCAGTTCAAAATAATCTAAAGCCTAAGGCATTCTGGGGCTTGATACGTAAGAGTTTGAAAAGTAAAGAAAAATGAGCAGACCAAAAATTTAATGAATATATTAGACCGAAAGATTCGGTGATTAGTTTGAAAAACCCGGCGGATATTTCCAATAGTTTTTTTAGTGTTATATAACTATATACAATTGTTTGTATTACCCTTGTGTTTAGCATTATATAACTATGTACAGTTGTTTGTGCTATTGTGAGCTTTCGGTAGTGATAATATTAATTTTTCCAATATGAAAGGAAGCTATACAACATATTGAAATAATTATTCACTGTAAACTTTCGACTGTCGACTGAAATACGGTATAAAAAAAAAACTTCAATATTTATATGTATATAAAATTTAATTTTAAAGCTTTATGAGAAACGAGATTGATAAAAAAAACTATACTTATTTCAAATTTATATTGTTATATAATTTCAAAATGTAAATTAAATGGATTAATCATTAAAAAAAAACTTTTATTTTTCAAAAGCAGTTTATTCTGCTTTGTTTGTTTTTTATGAGTATCTGGGTAAGATACAATTTTCGATTTAAATTTTTTATATAACTAGTCACGAGACACATACATCCATCTTCAATATTAATATCAATATAATAAGAATTTGTCAACATACCTTGCCTAAGAAATTCGCAAATAGTAACTAGATACAAATTTTTTACGATTTGATGTTCTCACTTAACACGATTAATAGCAATACCCGTGACAGAAGTTAAAATAGTATTGATTGTAATATTTACATGTTTTAATATTTACAATTGTAAAATAAGTTTAACATCATGTCACCTCTCATTATTATACTGAACTTCAACAATTATATACAAGTTATAAACAAAGATATAATACATGTTATTGGGATGTGATATTTTGTTATTTGTACATCAGAATTTAATAAATGTGAATTTAACGTGAAAAACGTAATTATTTACAAACTGTACGTTCTTTTATTATTTAGGAAAAAATGTTTTGAATACATTTAAAAATACAAAGCTATGAAATTGAAGGTAAGTATGTAGGAAAGTAGAAAAACTAAGCGATATTTGAAAGGAAGGGTATCATTAATTAAATTGCGTTTGTTCATTAATTTCTTGCGCATGTCGTATATTTCTCGATTATCTTAATTCAATTAAATTTGTTATAATTATATCTTCATTTCAATCATTCTCTTGTATATGTATCGTGTTTTCCTTAATCATGTTGAGTTAGCAGATATGTTTAACAATCTGCCACGAAAATTTAATCATTCGACGATAACATTTTGTATTATAGTACTATCATTCAGACATATTTCGTTATACGTGTATCATAATCATTTTGTTTGTATTCGAGATTCGAATACGCTGACTCATTTATATTCATTATTTTGACAGTTGCTCGTCGTTTCCTGAATCCTATGTATGCCTGATTATTATAAAGTAATTCAATTTGAACATCTTTAATACGTTGTTGGTTGATTATATAAATGCGACGAAGTATTTGCTATAAATTATTCGTCTGGCATAAACTTTGATGTATGTATTTTTAGAACATATCAAAGTGTTTTCTTACATTTTATTTTTTTAAAGCACCACTATCATAGTTCATCCTTTGTATACTCTTCATGATCTATTTTGACGTTATATATTCAATAAATTACATGAAACAAATAGGTTGTTAAGTTTTCATATTTCAAAATTAGAGGAAAATAAGAGATTGTATGACATTTATCAGATACATTGCTGTCGACACTATATGATAATATCAATTCGACATAAAAAACTGAAAGATAAAAAAAATGCATATCGAATGTGAATTTCAAGATGATAATCATGATTCAAGTTGCAGGAATTAATGACTTTTGATTACGATTTTAGATTTAAGATTATTCTTGATAAAAAAAAAGAGAAAAAAATAATAACAATTAATTTCTTTATGAGTTTTTACATTTTAGTTTTTTTATTAGCATGTATCTATTTATGTATTTTCACAATAATAATACATATTTATAATACATATATAACAGAAATCCTTTGTCTAAGAGACAAACAGACAATATTCTGTTAAAAAATTTGTTCTAATGTTGCCAGTATATAAGCATTTTATAATATAAAGGTAGTATGCATTATATTTTAAATAAAAAGGCGCGTTAAGTATCATTTGTTTTTTTTCTTTTGTAACATGATACCCTATTTTAAATTTAAACAAAAAATATATTAATACAGAAAAAAATAATGATTTATGGATTTCCATTATGTGATATTTCAGCTTAGTGTATGTCCATCTGAAAATGTTATTTACACAAAAAGCATTTCTTATGTTCGCTTGAATATTGTTTACTAGGATCCCAGTAATATATACACAAAAATTTTAATTTAATATAATTATTATCGTAAGTATTTTATTTAATGTGTTAGTTATTAAATCATGATCATTGCCTTTGATATCTATCATCTTGATCTACATGAACTTAACCATCGTAAAATTGCCAGACTTGTAAATAGTTTGATTAAATATGAGAATATTATTGAAAACGTATAGGAGTATATTCGTCGCATATATTCGAAAGTATCCATGAAAATATTTTTCAATACTTCTTTTTAATGGTAAATATTTGTTCATCCATTGAGGACAAAATATCAGAATAAAATTAATTCAAAGATATAGATACGGGTCAGGAAAACGTACGTAACAGACTGTCGGGTTTTCATATCATTGCTGACTTTCAACATGGATGTTTTATCACGTCAGTTGTACACTTCGTATATTCGTATTTATTTATAGATCTGTAATATAGACATTTAATGCGTTTTATTATTTTATTCAATAAAAAGAATTCACTGGAGGAACTTACTTTCGATTTCCGATCCTGCTGAGATAAGTTTAGTGTGCGGCTGTGCAGTTGTGCTTGGTTGTTGATTACTCAATTGTCCTGTAGTCGCTGGTGCAGCAAAACCTGGAGGTGGTTGCATTGCCCAATGTTGAGTTGGTGCGTTCTGTTGTTCCTTACATAAAAAAATGCAATATATTTTTAAATTTGTTTTACATTTTCGAAAATAATGTATAATAAAAGAGATATCAGAAAAGAATTTAATACCTGTTGCGCATTGTGTGATACAGTGTGTGGAGGATGAACATGTGGAAATTGCCACGTACTAGTAGTTTGGAATGGAAGAGGCCTAGAAGAACTAACAATGGCTGGATCAATCGAAGTCCAGTCTGCAATAGGTCCAAAATTGTTCCATCCGCCTTTTTGATGTAATGCTTGATGATGAAATTGTTGTTGTTGTTGTTGATTATTAATATCACACCAATCTTTAAGCGTATACACTGCATCTCCCGCGCATTTACTAATACCTGTTTTAAATATTAATTAAATTTCACGCATTAGTCATAAAAATAATACAAAATGTTCAAATAATGCTAATTATTACAATATACCTTGGGAATTCAAAATTCCATTTGGAAGATAGGTATTTTGTTGTGGTGGTTGTGCTCCTGTAAACAGCACACTAGACGAATGACTCATGTATAATATTATATAGATTTTTTGTAAAGTCACAAGAATTCACTTTTATACTTGGATAACACTATTGCTCGCCACAAGTATTTGATACTAATTCGTTATTTCCAATTTATATAATAGAAAGCATATCATTTTTTTAAAGAGTTACAAAAAGTTTGTTGTGTGTATTATTTTGTATAAATGAACAGAATAAACATAAAACATGTTTACAATCATCATAGATTACTGATGAAATTACGAAAATACTAACCCGAAAGAGCATTGTTCGTGGGAGCTGGTCGCGGTATACCAAGACCAAAAGAATTCATGTGATTTGGTGTAGAACCAGGGAAACCTGGTGGTGGAAGGCGACTACGTTGTCCCAAACTGGCAGTAGCCACAGTACTCTGAGCAGAACTTTGGGTACCACTTTGTAATAAATTTTGTGGAAGACGAGACAGCAAGGAATGAGACTGTTGAATAACTTGTAGATTTTGCAGATGTTGAGCCTGTTGTTGTAAATGTGCTATATGGGCAACCTACATAATAATAATAAGCAAATAATCCTACAATCCTACATAAAAAGCAAATAATAAAACGTCTCATGTTTATTTTAAAGAATTAATAGTGTTAATAAGTTATTAAGTGTTAATAAGTTTTTTAAAGAAAATAAATAATCTACCTGTGGAAAATGTTGTTGACCAAGGTTTGTAATATTTTGTTGATGTTGCACCCTATTTTGCTCTTCTCGTTCTCTTTGTTGCTGTTGTTGCTGAAACCTCTGTTGCTGAATTTGCATTTCATTTTCCATAAGTTCAGCCAAAGCTTTCTGTGTTTCATGAAAGGGATCAAAACCTAAATCATCATCAGCTTTTAAATCTGAACCAGATTCTTTATGATTTCTAACTTCTTCTAAAGTAGCATGACCATTTTGTTTTATGTATTCACAGTTTTCTTGATTTTGTTGTGCCTGAAAAAAATAATAATTATTTTTATTATTAATTACATTTAGTAATATGAAAACAATTTATATTTCTGTTATTAAATTATTGTGATCAAATTTTATATGTAATTTTAAATATCTAATTTTATATGTAATTTTATATCACATCAATATATAACATGCAAAAAAATTATAACAATTTGATATTTCAATAATATTTGAAATATTTCAAGTAATTTATAAAATTATATAATTTCATAAATTATTTACCTGCAGAGCAAGCCTTTGTTGCAATGAGTTTTGTTGAAAATCTGCCATGAATTTAGATGCAGGAGAATTAACAAGCAAACTTGATGTAAAAGTACTAGATGGTTCTGATAGAGTAGTATATTGTATATTGGTGTAAACTTCTTCATCTACAAAACCCTCAGAATTGAATGTTACTCCTGGCGAACTAGAAGGGCTGGATTTTTGTACAACATGATTTGTTTGTGAAGTTTCAGGTTGAAAACCAAAAGCTGCTTGCCAATCTTCACTAGATTGAACTATTGGTAATGAGTCAGGAATAGAAGTTAAGCCTGTAGTTGTCCAATTCAGGTTTGCTACATCCCAAAAAAATTAATTTTAACATTTTTTCATTATTTGATTTTATATAAAATATAAAAGAACATAAAAGGAAAACAATTATAAAAACTTAATCAGTTTTCAACTCAAGTTTGATTATTAAAGTAAAAATTAATTTATGAAAACTGCAACAGTAAAAAAAAAAGATTGTGAACATGCCTGTCAAAGAAGTAGGTGGCACTGAGGTGGTGGTAGAGATTTTCTGAAAAGTGTTTGAACTGAAGAAACTATTATTGTCTGTCTGAAAGATTGATCGATGATTAAATTGTATTTGGGACCCATTATGTAGTCCTGGTGGTGGTTGTTGATTGGCACCTTGTGACGAATTTGTGCTAGCTGGAGAGGAACCTAAAGATGATATGTACAAATCTCTACAATATGTGACACAATTAAATTATTTTAATAATGTAAAATGCCAGAATAAACAGTTTCAAATATTATTTCTCTCTACCACCATTAATAAATCTCAGAAATGTAAAAATATGTGTTCAGAAAATTTTCTCATATTTAAATAAAAAATTACAAAGAAAAGAAAAAAGATGAATTTAGTAATATCCATTGTATATAAAAGTAAAAACAATAAGTAATTTTTCAGACATTTCATATATACATATAATATATTAAATATATAATATATTATACATATATATTTATATATAGATTAAATTTAGTATTTATAAAATTTATAAAATTTATAATATTTATTATATTTAATATGTGTATATATATATATATATATATATATATATAATATTAAATATATATATAATAAATGCCTAAATGATACAATTTTCAAGAAGGATAAAGTCAAGTGTGTACAAAAACACAAAAAACAATTACTATTTTTTTTTTCAAAGAATTCTCTTTATTTTGGCATATATCTATAACTATTTAAATTCTATTCTACAGTTATAAGACAGCCATAAGATTTGCATATCAATATACTATACATTGCTCAAAAATTATTGTTCATATGTTTACAACAGTGTTATAAGAAATAGGCACACATTCAAAATGATTTGTGGTTTTTTACAAATATTTTACATGTCATACTTTAATGTTCAAGAGTATAAACTTTCTTTCATTTTTTTTTTTTTTTGCAAATATATATTTATAGAACTTGGAAACATTTTCAAAAAATAATACAAAAAATTTATACAATTTAACATGTTACAAATCTGTATGTGTAAATTATCATAAAACAAATAAACTCAATTTAGTCTTAAAAAATTCTGAACTTAAACAATAAATGAGATTTGCAAACATAATTTTGTAAATATTTCATAAATTTCATAATAAACACTTAATATATATTTTTAATAATAATTATAACAAAAACTTGTATCATTCTGTGTCATTTTATTCATATATTGAATATATTTATATATTCGTCAATATTCATATATTTATATACTGAATTTAACTATTTTTTTATATTTTTTATATTTTTTATATTTATTTTAGAAGTAAAAAATCAATACATATAAAAATGATCACGAATATAAGGAACTCACCCAAAATAGCAGCACCACTGTTCTCTTCACTTGATTCTGCTAAATGCTCCACTTGATGATTGACATTTGAATCTTCCGTACTCGAAATTGTACTAGCTGGTGTACTACCTTCACGTTGTTGATCCGTTTCACTATCCGAATGTCGGCGCTCTCCGTTCTGTACTATTCCGTTTACTTTAAGTTCTTGAGATTGTTGATATTGTTGTTGTTGTTGAACTAATTTAGATCTTTTGTTACTTTGTTGCTGCGATTGTTGTTGAGATGGTGGTTGCTGTGGCTGTTGCTGTGGTTGCGATTGTTGTTCCGATTTACACTTGTTACCCAATTTTTGTAATACATCACTATTCGATTCGGATGAAAAATTTCTAATATCCTTTTGTCCATTAATTTGTGATTGTACATTATTTTGTGTACTAATAGAGCTAGATTCCGATCGGGAAGTTGTCCGTGTACTGTGTTTTTCTTTATTTTGACAATTTTTGTGTTTATTCCGTGCTGCTTGAGCTTTACTTTCACTATTACTTTTTCCTCTCCGTATATTCATATTTTCACCTTTATTATTATTGTTCTGCTGTTGCGTAGAACCACCAGACAACACATGACTCTGCTGATTTATTGTACTACTTCCGTTTGTTATGTTGTTTTGCTGTGATGTTGTTTGTGATGGCGGAGATAATTCTTTACAATTTGTTTGTGAACCTATAAATATAAAATTACAATAATTGATAATCTACAATTGTGTTGCTGCTAAATATACTTATTTGTGACTTACTATTTGTCTGCCCAGTTTGTAACGATGGCCAAGCTTCTTTAGCTTGAGAATTTGAAGTTCCATTTTCTCTAACAATATTGCCTGTCACTGACGGTGATGGTGTTGGTTTCCTGAACAACAGAATAATTATTTTTTGAGTTGCGCTATCTTTTCTTCCAAATATAATATAATTTAATAATTTCTAATCTAAAGTAAATTACCGTTGTGCAGATGCATGCGACGCATGTAACGATTGCACAAGTTTACGCTCATATTCTTGATGTTTGCCTTGATGCATCTCTTCCTTCGTAAATGATGCTTCCTGGTCCCCAAGATCGTGTAAATACATACAATCCGGTTTCGGACAAGGCTGATTCCGCATAAAATGTGAACAATACTTTGTTGTTCCTAGTGACGTTTTGATAGTCCGTCCATCCATAACAACATTATTCACAGCCTCTATAGCACGTAGTGCATCTTCTTGACGCTAATAATTTTAAAATATACAATTTAGTATGTTCAAATGAAAGTATAGCTTTCAATATAAAAGTAGATAGAACTTACTTGATAAGTAACGTAAGCTGAAGCACTAGGACCTTGAGACCCTGCATAGGAAGTGCTTTGATTTATTACAACTTTGTGAATTTTGCCAAATTTTCCAAAATATTCATGCCGCTTTAACATCTAAAAATTAATTATTAATTATTATAAAGATATTAAAAATTTTCGTCAAAAACAATTTACTTAATTTAACCACCTACATCAGCATCCGCAAGTCTCAATGGTAATCCTACTACAAATACTAGATTTTTTTGTACTACTCTCACATTTGCTAGATGTTTACGGTTTTCTGTAACCCTTTGCTTACGTTGCTGATCTTTTAATCTCTTTTCGGCTTTTAATCTAATAAAATGAATACAATAAGTATCTATTTATTTATAATTTATACAGGTACTGAAAATGTTATAGAACAAGCATTACATACCTTGCAATTTCTTCCACACTAAGAGGTTTAAAATCGGCAGGATTTTCAGAATAGGCCTTCCGACAGGCAGGACACAAACCATTTTCATCTGTACGAATTCTGTGCCAGCAAAATCGACATATTTGATATCCACAAGTGCATGGAAAGAAATTTAAATCATCCACTTCCAATGGCTCCATACACAAAGGACATTCCACCGCATCTTCTCCACTTTGATTCAATACTGACATTTTTCTTCCTAGTTTTTATATCACACAGTACAGTACGTTTAGGATTTCCTTTATCCGTAAATCCTACAAGTAAAAAATATTTCACACAAAATATTCAACACTCCTTCAATCATAAAAAAGTACATAACTGTGATTGTTCAGATATTTTGATAATATATATTGCAACACTGGAAATACACGGAACATACATTTCAATTGAGAAGCAACATCATTATTAATGTAAATTTAGTGTACATACGTGCGAATTCTCCACAATATCCTGACACTATGTAATTGACTGTACCAGCAACTTCTTATACACTAATATCCTTGCACAATCTGAAACAAGTAATGGGATTAAAACGTACTAAATGTACGAAGTATTAAAACGTACAGCAAGAATGTTATGACTCAGATGTGTCATCAAGTATTAGCAGTCGTTTTCGTATAATTCCACGTCAATTCACAAGAAGTGGCTTCGCAACATACATCGTAACGAAATCTCTTTCTCTCTTTTTTTTTTTTTTTTTTTTTTGAAAAGTATTTCACCGGGGAGGCGTTGAAATGGATCGAAATATTATAGGCGAATATTTCTATCTTCTGCAAAATAGGATAAGAAAATAGCGAGTCTGTTTGGCTGACAGATTTAACGAACAATTGGAAAGAAAGGATCTGTTTGACAGGAGCTGTCAGACGAATGTTTAACGAACAAACAACGCTTTGGATTTTAGGAAATCAGAATTAATCTCGTGTGCCCTACGGTGGATGTAGAAGTGACAAGCTTGCACGTAAAGTTGAGAACGATACGACGACGACGACGAAAAACTTGCGGTAGGGCCCACCGTCTATACTCTCCCACTCACTTTCTCTTTCCTTCTCCGTCGCTCTTACGATGAGACACGAACTATACGAGAGGGCGACGATCGGACGAAACAGCTGTTGGTGGCGTCGAGAGAAGTGAAGAAACGTCAGAGAGTGAGTGAGAGGGTACTACGCCATAGCAGAAACCTACGTGAAAATCCGTAGAAAAGTCGACGTAGTGGGGCATGACACGTAAATTCCTCAGAGGTTTGAATACAACTATCCACATATGCAAGGACGATGGCTCGATGTTTCGCGATACGATTTTCAAGAGGGGAAAAGGCGAGCGAGAGAATGAGAAATGGAAGTAACGAAAAGGAGTGGCGGAGAGAAAAAGAGGGGAGAGGGAGGGGAAGAAAGAGAGAGAGGAGAAAGAACGACAGAGAGGAGGCTAAAGACAGAACGAGAGAGAGATGAACGTACAAAAAAAAAGACAGAACAACGATGCCATCATTCGTTTTGTCCTTTTTTAGCTAATGGTCGTTGTCTTGATCTTGCGCGTGAAAGAAAAAGGCTCTCACTGATCTCTCATATCTGTTCTACCTATTTAAAAAAAAAAAGAAAAAATAGAATGAAAAAGAAAAAAAGGAAAACGACCCGTGATCCTTTGAATGCAACTAAAGTAAAAGCTCCAACTCAAATATCTCAGTTTACGGAAGACAAAACTGCGATACAGCACGATTAACATAGTATGGCTCGCAGCGAACGTCACAAAAGATTGAATGATTTGTCGTCAGAGGGGTTGCTAAATACCCTGGACTGGTTACAGGGTATACCTGACTCGTTTAACCTTAACTTCGTTATAGCAAGGAAACTTTTCGACAGTTTTCGATAGTACATGAACCGCGTGCCACTGTTCTCGTTGTCGATTCTTAGAGTTATCTTCACGCATTCGTCAATCCAAATTTTTTGGCTCTTGTTTACTTACGTTACAACTTTTCCACTAACAAATCTCTTTTCTATACTGGGAAATTTTTGTACAGTCTTCTAGATCTGGTCGCATGCGCACTGCGACTGCGCAGAAACGGACATTACATATACTGGCACATATTTAAAGAAAGGCGCATAGGTAAAGAATTCTAAAAGCGCATGTCAGATCCACACTTCGATTGCACTGTTATGCTCGTCCAAATTTTTCTTTTTCTTTCGTTCAATTTGATAAATCTCTTACTCATGTTGATATAAGATAAATAGTTAACATATATTTCCTATCCTACTAATTTTGATGTTCACAATTTCTTTTATTTTATATTTACCGCGCATTCGGAAATAATTTGATAATAACGCCAACAGATGAAAGTAAATGTCCCTAGCATTGAACAAAATAGGATATTCTCATTGGACGAATTTTATACTTTAAAATTATTTAAATCAATTAAATGTGAAATTCATGTTACATTTGTCATTGATATAGGACATAATAATATTTTGATATGATAATCTACAATCAAGTATTACATTTTATTATAAAATACAAAAACCTAATTTTACAGTTTGCCTCATCTGGGTAAAATTATTTGTATTTATTTTTGTCTATTAATTTAACTTCTTATAAATAAACGCAAAAATTTTTAATGGTTAATGTATTATACAATTTACCAATAATATATAGTGCTTAAGCAAAGTACGATATATAATATTGTATTTTCCATTACCATTTTTTGCTTCTAGATTAATTACTTTATTGAACGATACTGATGTTACCTTTATAATCTACACCAAATAATGGATGTCGTGTTCTCAAATTTTTTGGGAATGGTACACTGCAGTTTTCTGTCAGCATTGGTTTAATTTTTGAAATGTTTGAAAGTTTTCGTCTGACAGTAATTGTGCCTGCTGGCTTCATATTAACTACATTAAAAAAATATATAAAATGTTTAAAAAAGTCACTGATCATATAAATATATAACCTTTTCATATATTTATATTATATTTCATATATTCATATATTTATAACCAATATATAAATTTTTCATATAAATATATTACCAGTTTTATATCGTGATTTCATTTTGCCAGTATGGAAAACACATGTAACATTACATTTAACTTCATGATTCACTGCATAGTATTTCTCCTCATTAATTTTAAATTTAGATTTTTCTCCAAATACTAAACTTTGACCTTTAAGTTCTTGTGGATTTACCTGCGAATTGTACAATATTTATAATATTAATGTGATTGTCTTATTCAAATATCCTTGACTCACTGTTCCAGGAATATCCATAATCCATACATCTTCACTATCAGATAAATCATCCAAGTCGAATGTTGTATCTGTGGTTTCTACAATTAAGTCTTCTTGTTGTACTAAATCATTGATCTAAAATAAAATTTATAAAATAATTTCATGCAAAATTTTATGGTAAAGAAATATAGGTACGGCTTTACTGTTGCCTCACCAAATTTGTAACACATATTATATATCATTCTATTTATTTTAATGTACAGTTTAATAAGAATGTGTTTTTGTTTGAACATTTGTTTTTGGCTGAAATAATAAATGATCAGGCTAAGCTTTTTTATATATCTTCCTTCCTATGATGCTGTTTTTAATATCAATACCAGCAGAATAATATATGTACTAAAAATTTGGGAGACAATAGTACTGATCAACCAAAATATACATTTCTAATTGCAAAGGGGTATAAGTCAAAAAACTGTTACTCCTGCAGAAAAACATTAGAAACATTTAAATTTTAAATACAATATAAGGTCAAATGTAAATTTTAGACATGAATAATATATATGTTAATAATATATGTCTCATTTCACTGTACTTCAAAATATACAACATTTTGTTGAAAATAATGACTTGTATTAATTGTATTTTGATTAAAGTTTGACTTGTACTCTTTTGCTCACCCACCAAAGATACATAGTATAAATAGAGATCAAATTTTATTTACGTTATGTGGTCTTACAGTAGACACATTCAATGATAGTCTATTGTCATTTGTTTCACTTAAAGTTTCTTCATTATTTTCTGCTTCTACTACATTTCTTTTGTCTTTTTCAGGTCTTTTCAAAATGCTTTTTCTAGATGTAGGTAAATTATTAAGGCTGGTACGTTGAATTTTTGTATTGATCTTTATAGATTTATTACTTTTTCGTTGAGATGTTTCAGTTTCTATGGCGTCCATCAGGACCATGCTTTTATTCAATTGAGTATTTAACTTAGTTAAAGAATCTTCCATATCAAAATCAGCCATATTTAATGAAACAAACAAATTATCTTTAATTATCAATAAAAGTAATATGGCATTTACATATATTATAAAATTTCTTGTAATTTATAAATCCTTCACATGAAATTTGTTAACCTATTAACATGTAAATACAAAGTATAATTCTTCATTGTATTTTAAAGAACTATTGTTCAACACACTATTTACATAAATCCGGTAGAAAATTAGATTGTCATTTAAATACACGATGCTCAATATACTAATATAAACATGTATAAACATACACGTATCATTAGTGTATACGTTTTTTCAATGACAAGTTCGATGTACAATAATGTTATCACAATAAACGAAAAACGAAACAATTAATTCATAAGTTGGAACTTATTATATCATGTGCTCTATAATGTTCTATATATCACTTGAACTTTGCAATAGTTTAATACTTCAACTGTTATTAAGGATATTCTTCAATGCAAATAACTATAGAAGATTAAAGCACAGTTTACAATAATTGTATTTCACGTATATTTTTATTCATTATTTATTCATTTAAAATTGTATAATTCTTACAACAAATTATATAAATAAGTAGTTCAATGTATAAATTAATTAATACATAATATAATAATAACTAAATTGTTACTAATATTATTTATTCAATTAAAATAAAATTTTCCGTACGATGGCGTAGCAGATGTAATATTTTGATATAGTTAAAACAGCGGTTATTTTAGGTTCGTTGATACCATTGATCAATTTTGCTTGAAAACACTTATTTTACGGATATTGAAATATTTTTTAAGCATTGTTATAACTTTGTTGTGCATTTACTTCTTGAAAAAATTATAATACGCGCAAAATGTCTACAACCGGAAATTTACGACGCTCTTCGCGATTAAAAGGTAGCATATACATGCAGAAATGGATATATTTATTTGCGATTTACTGTTAAATAATTTATTTTTATTCTAGTAAGAAAACCTAAAAGATATATATCGTCCAATTCGGATGAAAATTTAGATGATAATACAATAGAAGTAAATACAATAGAAAATGAACTTAAAGACATAGAGGAAAATGTACAAAAGCCAGTTGGTAATTTTTCAGTAACATATTTAGCATTGATTTTCTTGTTTCTCTTTTTTTCAAATATTAAGATATATATTATTTAATTAGAATTATTTTCAAATGATGATGTAAGTGGAGAAGCATTATACAAATTAAAGACTCCTGGAAAAAAAAATGCTATGACAAAAAAAGCATATTTATGTCGTACACCTATTAATGCTCTTAAATTACCTGTGGCTAAAGTTGTTATTGAAAAGATAAATATACATAACAAAGAATTAAAAAAAGATCAAAAGATTTCAAAAGGTATAAAAATTTTTAAAATAATATAACATTCTTTTAATAGTCAATCTAACAATAATATACTACAATAATATTTTTAATAATTTTTATTTTTAAATCCAGTTCCTATTGTTCCAAGAAAATATAAATCTGGATTAACTTCAAGTGAAAGTGAAAGTATATCTGAACCTAGTGATTATCATCCAACTGAAGATACTGAAGATGAAACAAGTGATAACGAAGATGTAGAGTCTAGCTATGATGAAAAAGATGAAATAAAAACAAAGAATCAAAGACAAAAATTTATATCACAATCAAACTTATTGAGTACACCAAAAAGAATAAATAAGAAAAATAAACCTTCAATTATTCATAAGGATTTTGTAAGTATAATATAATGAATTTCAATAGAGTGTTGATAACAAATTATACAATAGATTACTGTTGTACATTTTACACTTTCAAAGCATATGGAAACTGATGAATACTTTGTGACACAATCAGAAAAGGTAATTACATCTGATCGGACATTAGAACATCTACGTAATTCTCGTTTAACGAAGGAAAAATTAGAAACATTGTTAGCAAATCAAAATCATGTATCATCACAACATAAAAAAAATATTTATTTATTAACTAGGAACTATTCTATGTTATTTCCCATGTGGTACTTTATTATGGAGTAAGTACTAAAAATTGAAATCTATATAGTTTTAAGAAATATATATAGCTTTTAAGAAAATTTAGTATACATATTGCTTTGTTATATTTTAGACAAGGTTATACTATATTGCTTTATGGTTTGGGTTCAAAAAGATGTTTGATCAATAATTTTCATAAAAGTATATCTTATCATCCATCACTAGTAATAAATGGATTTTTCCCTAGTTTAACTACGAAAGATGTAAGTTATATGAATGAAATTAAGATATAAATATTAAAATAATATAATAGTTAAAAATAATATAACATTTTTTAGATATTGGATGGTATAATTATTGATTTATTGGAGTTGAATTATCCTAGTAATACAACTGAATGTATAGATCTTATTGAAAAGGCTTTAAGGAAAAATCTGAAAAACAGATTATATTTGTTAATACATAATATAGATGGCATAATGCTACGTTCAAGTAAAGCTCAAGATTTATTATCTTGTCTTGCAAATATACCAAATGTTTGTGTTTTAGCATCAATTGATCATATCAATGCTCCGCTATGTATGATCAATTTTATATTATATTTTTATGATATTATTATTTATATTTCTAATAATTTTTATATGATTTTACATTTATAGTATGGGATCACACAAAACATTCTAAATTTAATTTCTTTTGGTGGGATACAACAACATTTTTATCTTATCAAGAAGAAACATCTTATGAAAGCTCACTCTTGGTTCAACAAAGTGGTGCTCTTGCTTTATCATCTCTCCATAATGTTTTCCTATCTTTAACTTCAAATGCTAAATCAATCTACATATTGCTTGCAAAGAATCAGTTGAACAACAGTAATAATGTTAATTTCACTGGTAATTTCAAATTTATTAAAACAATTATATATAGAATTATATAGTTTTAGACTTAAATTGTATAAAAATTTCTATTAATAGGAATGGCATTTAAAGATCTGTATCGAGCTGCCCGTGAAGGATTTCTTGTAAGTTCAGATTTAGCATTAAGAACACAACTGACTGAGTTTATAGATCATAAGCTAGTTAAAATAAAGCGCAATATTGATAGCGTTGAACATCTTATCATTCCATTAAATAATGGACTTCTAAAACAGTTTCTAGAAGAACACGATATGTGATATTTTTTAGTATATACTGTAGCATATAAGATATAGTAAATATCTAAATTTAGTATATACTGTAGCATATAAGATATAGTAAAATATAAATATTTATATATTTTATACTCATTTTATACACTAAATTTATTAAAAAATTTACATTTTTCTAAAAAGAATAAAAAACGATAAAACATTTTAATAAAAAGGTAATGAAATATATAATTATGTCCTTATGGCTATGTTATGTCCTTCGAAAAAAGTTCTATAAACAAAATCTA